CATGAAAGCAGACACAACGCATCGTTTTTGTCCCACCAGAAGAACAAACGATGATGAAGCCAACTTCATCATCGTACAACTTTGGTTTTTTTTGGCTGGCTTGCCAGCTTGGCCGTGGAAGACAATCGTCATCCGCCCGGCTGCCTTGCTCATCCCATCTCTCGCCCCTGCTGCATTTTAACCCACCCACGAAATGATGCTTTTTAATTTGAATATGTTGATTAGTGCTGATGAGATATTTGGGTTTAATCCCTCATGCATGCCTAAAATGCCAGCCAGTCCCCTAATGGCATTTTTATATAGGCCACATGAATCTCCGTCTGTCCCCACCGGAGGGCCGAAACCTTTTATTTGCCCCAATCCATCCATCTTCAGTGCGCAGAATCTGCGATCGGTTAATGAGCTCCAGGAGGGGCGCGGCAGGTCAAGTAAAACGGTCTCTGGTTGAGACCCACGATGACCTCATCTGATAAATCCAGCCTCATTGCTCCTGGCTTCATGCACGGTGGCATTAATCTCTGCAGGGTGATAACACCGCATTAATCATTTCATTAGGTGGGAGGTGGGCAGGGAATGTCTGAAATAGTCAAAGACATTGAGTTCAGGACTTTTTTCCCGGTTTAAAGTCACAACAGAGGAAGTAATTGCTTATTTGTTTGTTTTTCAGCTCATGGGAGCGCTAACGCTTCGTAATCAAACTTCTCTCCAAGAAAGTTGATGAATGTTACATCACAACCGAAAGCAAGACGCCTCTCGGTGATTTCGCTGGCACCTGCTTCAAGAGAGACACGTCACACTCCACCTGGAGATGAGCTGACGGCTCACAAATGGGGCCTGCTGTTGTTGGTTAAGTGCCCGAATGACCTGAAAAGTGAGGCAATGACCGAGCCCACGGCTACGTGGCGTCTCCCCAGAGGCAGGCGAGTGGAAAAACAGCCCTGCAGCTCTGACCAAAACTAACACAAGCGGTTCATCACGGGACAAAAACGGGACTCAGATGACAGTCAAAAATTATAATCATATTTGTCTTTCTCTGTACCTAAGTGCAGGATAACTCAGATTTTGTGCGCAGGCTGCAGGCAGATTTGTGTTGCAGGATTGTGGCATGTGAGTTTGTGGGTGGGTGGGTGCGTGTGTGAGAATCACATAATGCCCTGCAGAGATGCAAAGGCTACACCGTAAATAACAACTGTCTGCCGGCCGAAAGACTCGTGCCGATAGAACAAGGAAGCGAGGGACGAAGGCAACCACGGTTCACGAAGGGACGCGGTGTCTGTTGAGTAAAGAGGGCTGCTGATGCAAAACATTATGCGAGTGTGCTTATTTATCTAAAAATAGTCACGCTGCTACTATTCTGTGCAGCAGATGCTCCGCGGCGCTATGTGTTAGCATGGTGGGGGTTAAAGGCTCAATCACTGCACAAACACTTCCTGTGATTCAGCTAAAAAAAACAGTGAGCCGTGCAGCTTGAGCACTGTTCTAATTAGAGGACTAATAAAAAGCTTTCTGCAGCTGAATGAATATTTAACCTGAGAAGATTGCAGGTCAACACCAGGCTATGAAAAATGAAACAAATTAATTAGGCATATCAAAAAATCAAGTTGTTTTGAATACTGTCGCCAGCTTGCATTAACTCTTCCGCACAGCAACACAGGCTAATTAAGCACGTAGAGATTTTACTGTGAAAGGTTTTTAACATCCTTTAATTCACTGACTGTTTGGCTCAATCATCGTTTTTTCTTTTTCTTCCTTTGATCAGCAATGAAGGATCTACACTCTAAAAGGAAATCCAGTGAAGCAACGCTTTTATTCACCTACCGCTTGCATCATGCCTAATGGGTGAAGCATACTTCAATGTCCAGTGTTCTGTTGGACACGTCCCTGAGGGCCCTTCAGTTGTCACAATGGGACAAACATTTCCCGAAAGGACCTCTTGCATGTTTCTTGCATGTGCCCTTATTCTGACACATCCAGACCCTGGGTGCTGTTCTCCTGCTGTGGTGCTGCCTCCCTAGAGCCTTGCGTGTGCTCAGTAGGAACATGAACTGTGCCTGAGCGCTTGCAGACCTCTGACCGCCTCGCTGCGTCACTCTGCTGCTGTCAGTCCACACAGGCTGCAGGAGTCCACGTCACATGCCCGGTGCAGGATCGAGTTTGGAATATGACGTTAGCTTAGCAAGTGAAGGGTCCTCAGTTGTTAGCCTGGCTGGAATAGCATATTTTTATTCTAAAGAAAGCATGTGGTACATGTATTTTAAGGGGAATATATTCAGGAGCAGGAACATCTTTGTTCCATGTGCGTGCTGTCTCACGTCTCTGTTTTTCGCCCCATTTTTACGAGGGTACCTGAAATCCAGCCTCAAGTTTTGGTGTTCAAATTTTCAGATACACAGATTATTTTTCGAAAAGCTGCATCATCTCGTGGCGCTCCATGGAATCTTATCAAGATCTGAAGCCACTTCCTGTTCACCACGTAACACTGTAACTTATCTTATCGGTTGTGTAGATCAGTGGAGACAAAGTGCAGGCTGCCTGAACGTCCTGCCTGCTTCTTTTGAAGTTAAGACTCGTGCTCGCTGCACATACTGTCCTGCTTGAGGGGAAAGACACTGACGCCAACCACAAATCTTCAGTCTTCTGCAGAATGGGGAATCAAGGCCGGCCATGTCTCATGGAAGCCACGTGCCTCCTGTTGCATTCGCTCAAACACACCACAGGAGTAAAGTTCATAAGGGCCTCCACGGTGCGGAGAGATGAGCCTCTAACCTGCTCAAGGAACAATGAGTTCACATGTGACACACAGTGATGCACTGGTTTAGCTGCTCCTCCAAACACGCACACGTCTACCGAATTCTACACGCGGGCGAAAGCTTAAAGCGTGTTCCTCGATCAGAATCGGTTTGCTAGATTTGAAGCGTTTCTGTGCTTTTTGCTCACGGCTGGAGCTCGTTGTGTCCTCTGTCATCGATATCTTTTACGGTCCAACAAAGCGCTTTGCCGCTGGCGTGATTCCATCCTAATCCGAGCAACATTAGCCTGAGGGATTCTTATAAGAAATGGAAAAGGGAGAGACACTATAATGCACAAACCTACTTTATAGTAAAAGCTCATGGGTTCAAAACCGCCTTCAAGCGTTCCTATGAGCGGAAATCAGTCTCCTCTTTGGACTGTGATGCAAGGGGACTAAAGCTGTGCTGGTTTTCTTTCTGCTGATCCTTTTAAAGGGTTTTAAAAGGTGTCACAGTATCCAGTAAATAAAAGTTCCGTGGAAGTCGAATGGTTACTGTGCATGCTAGGGATGCATCATATATAGTTACCTGGAATGTAAATCCTGTTTAAATTAGGACAGATTTGTTCCCCCATTGAAAAGATTTACACTTGAAATGTAATTTCTGTTCGTTTTGAAAATTGATTGATTACCTGGTGTACGATTTATTCATTTTTTACAACAAATTACAATGCACTGAATTTATATCAATTATGTTTTTGGTAACATTTTCTTTTGCAATGTCCCGAAAGCCATTTTTAAGTCAAGCACATTAAAGACTGAGGCCAGTGTCTTCCACCCAATGAGGCGGACGTCATATTGGCCTGTACGTCAGAAACAACTAAAGACGTACCGGCTTCGATTCCAGCTTAGGGGATTGTTGTTAAATCCCTTCTTGTTGGATACCTTATTCCCTTGTAACACCCTGACTTTTCTTTTGTCGTTTCCTACCATGTCCATAAGGTCCGTCTTCAGTCTGATTAAGTCCCGTCTCTGTTACCTGCTGTCACCCAGGATAAAACCTCAAATCCTCCGCCGACTGGGCGCATTTCCCTTTAACATCACAATTCATTTCCGAGAAAGACACGACTGTTGTCATGCAACCCTTCTCTCCTAATTCTGAGTGATCTTTAGCATGACCTGTGAGTGCAGTCATCCCTTTAAACCAACTTGTTTCCCAGGAAATTCAATTTATTTTATTTTTTTCTTTAAAAAGAACCCAGCTGAGGATTTAGTTTGCAGAGGGGTGAATGAGTGCAGCCACGGCGCGTAAAGAACCCTCTTTGTTTTTACAACCCTTTTGCGGTACATTCATTTTTAATCCGTTTTTTTTTTAGGGATTAGCAGAGAGTAACAGGAAGGAAATGGGTGGGAAGGGTAGTCTTTGTTTTTTCACTGACGGGAGGCGTCTGGAGCTTTGCCCAGTTCTCTTCTTGGCAGTAGCTGTGTAAAGACCCGTTTGCAGTGATTACCCGTCCCTCGTCTCAGGCCCGTGTCCCGCTGGGAGACCAGGCCTTAACGATAATAGCAATGCATGAAACCGATGCCAAATGGCCTTTTTACGAGGTAATGAAATACTCGCACTGAGAACTTTTAATGGTTGTTGCCTAATGCTGTCAATAAGAGAAGTGTGCTGCCCTTGTGCTCATCCAACCACCATTGTTTTTTCTCCCAAGTCGAGCACATCGGCACTCAGGGTTGTAATCACATAGCTGTGTCTAGTGCGAAAGGCCTATTAAAAAAAAAGTGCATTAGCCGCTGTGGGCGCACACAGAAACACACACTCCAGGAGACTTAAAACAACTGCATTGTGTGTCAAAGGGCGTCATGAGACGTTGAGAATGTGTTCGGTGAAGTGAGTCCATCCGCAGCCCTCGCTGGACCCCAGCAGACTGCAGGAGATATTTGTCGGGAAGCTTAAGTGGCATCTTTTCTTCCACCCAAGTCGACTTTGTGACTCAGATGTTGTGCAGCCGCAGTGAGCGGGGGAAAGGCCACAAAGACGAGCAGGCAAGAGGTGAACTCCGTGTTTAAGTGGATGTTGCAGCGCTGTATTTTCTTGTTCCAACATTGACGTGGCCCCATCTGGGTGTATGCGTTCCATTAGTAAGCGTGCCTGCTTTAGGGTTGTCTATCTTTATTGTTTGTTGTGTAACTCTTGCCTGTTTCTTTAGGGTAGTGGTTCTCTTGTTGCCATCACCTCATGTCTTTCTGTCTCTGTTGTGTCTTTCAGCTGGATCCTCAGACTGTGCAGTCCAAGAACTGGCACATGGACGTCATCGAGATGAACGGGGTAAGACGCAAAACCCGCTTGAATCTAGCTTCCACTATGACACGTGTGTGGATATTATCATGTGTTGTGTTTGCTAAAGGCAACGCAGGTGTTTTTCTCATTGGTCGGCATCTTCCTACATCCGTGCAGGAAGTCAAAGTGATTTAGGATTCCAAGTACACCAATTTGTGTACCGCACCTGTGTAATCCACATCTGTATGGCTGTGGTGTTTACAATATACTCCAAATGTTTAGCCTGAAGACGTCGGATATTAAATATTTATTCCAAGTGAAAACAAAGAAGTGGTTTGTGAGAGCGATGCCAGTTTACTTCAGCTGTCTTGTTTGTTTATCCTCAGATCAAAGTGGAATTCTCCATGAAGTTTACAAGTCGGGACCTCAGCTTGAAGAGAACACCATCCAAAAAACAAAGTGGTGTGTTTGGAGTCAAAATCAACGTGGTGACAAAGTAAGCATGTCCAAATTGTGCAGGGCATAGCGGTGTGCAAAGTAAATTCCTCCGACTTCATTGCTGACAATATCGCGGCCCAGAATTGTTTCCATCTCCTCAATGTCCCTCACGTCACCAGAAAGTTAACGTGGGTGCACCTTCTGTTCACATCCTCAGGCGCGAGCGCTCCAAGGTGCCTTACATCGTCCGCCAGTGCATTGAGGAAGTGGAGAAGAGGGGGATCGACGAAGTGGGAATCTACAGGATCTCCGGGGTGGCCACTGATATCCAGGCCCTCAAAGCAGCATTCGACACCAGTAAGTCCCCCGCCCACTGCCTCCTCCCAGCCTCATGACCGGAAACATTGTTAACCAGCAAAAGGGTGACCTACATTTATTAATTCCTGTCTTATTGTATAATACCATTTTAGTAATAAAGCAATTTACTACTTTACATTGCCAGTGCTATTTAATAAATTGGAGGCACATCTGCTCTGTCAAAGTGACTCCTAAGAGCAACTTTTCAGTGGGGATTTGCCGTGGCGCTCCGTACTGAAAAGAGATAAAGAGAAAAGAAAGAGAAAGGGATGAGCAGCACCAGATGTCAACTCTTCCTGTTGCATAACAGTCGCTGAGCGTAGGTCCCACAGGCAAAGTGCAGTGCCACCTTTAGTTGTTCTGTGGCCCGGATGTGGTGTGACTGCCAGATTTACATCCTTACCGGAAACTGCACCTGTGTTATCGTCCGTCAGTAGTCATGCAGCGTGCACGCTTTCTAATCTTTGTCTCACCTGCAGATACCAAAGAGATCTTGGTGATGCTGAGCGACATGGACATCAACGCCATCGCGGGAACCCTGAAGCTGTACTTCAGGGAGCTGCCGGAGCCTCTGCTCACAGACCGCCTCTACCCCGCCTTCATGGAGGGCATAGGTGCGACCTTTAGGCCCCCGAAAGAGTGTGTGTGTGTGTGTGTGTGTGTGTGTGTGTGTGTGTGTGTGTGTGTGTGTGTGTGTGTGTGTGTGTGTGTGTGTGTGTGTGTGTGTGTGTGTGTGTGTGTGTGTGTGTGTGTGTTTGTTGTCAGTGAGAGAGTTGAGCTCAACCAAAATGGATTTGACTGACTTGTCGAGTTCGATCTAACGCCCCCCCCCCGTCCTCCCCTTCTCTCTCGCAGCGCTCTCAGATCCGGCAGCCAAGGAGAACTGCATGATGCACCTCCTGCGTTCTCTGCCCGACCCCAACCTCATGACCTTCCTCCCTCTGCTGGATCACCTCAAACGGTACACACACACACACACACAACCGACCCTCAGACATAGAGACTCTTACTTATGATGAGAAGTCTCATCAAATCGGATATCTGTAACATGCGTTTAATATTATTGAAGTTGGCGTTATCACTGGTTACTTATCAACGATTAATAGGTGTAAGAATTAACGTGTGTGTGTGTGTGTGTGTGTGTGTATGTTCCTGCAGGGTGGCTGAGAAGGAGCCCATCAACAAGATGTCCCTCCATAACCTGGCCACCGTGTTCGGCCCCACTCTGCTCAGGCCCTCAGAGTCTGAGAGCGCGAAGGGACTGCACATCACCTCCGCCTCTGACATCTGGTCACATGACGTGATGGCGCAGGTACCTTTGCGCAGAAGCACTTTCTTTTTGGGGCGGACACAGTAGCACACAGATGTTTCCGGTCGCAGCACATGTTTATCTGGATGAGTTTTTCTCCCACGTCCCCAAGTGACCCGTGTCGCTGCGCTGTTCTCTCCCGGCTCTATTTCGGCTGCAGGCCATCCCCTCCTCTCTGCTCCATAGTAAATCATCATAACATGGCCAGCATGAAGATGCAGGAGGCCCTGTCAGTGTTTGTACTGGGACTTAAATACTTAATGTTTACTGCATAAGTATACAAAATTTCAAAAACCAAAGGAAGACGCTTTGGTTGTTATATTCTAGATATAATATAATAATGGGGATTGATGATGTTATTAGAAGAACCAATCTAGAAATCTAAATAGAGATCTAGAGACATTCCTGGACATGTTTATGAGGATACAATTAAGTCCACATACTCCCAAAATATGCTTTCTATAATATACTATAATATAATATTACTGAATTTAAAATCAGTTACACGCTAGCAACTGTTTGTTACAGTATCAGCGTAAAGAACGCCTTTGTGACTTATGCTATATGCTATACCCAACTTTAGACACATTCACATGTTTAAATGAAGCTGAAACAGCAGTCTTACAAAAATAAAATAAGATTGAATCTGCTACATTCCATTACATGTCATTTAGCTGACGCTTTTATCCAAAGCGACTTACAATAAGTGCATTTCAAGCATAAGGATACAAACCCAGATTAATAGGTAACAGAGAAGGGACTTCATTTCATCAATACAAGCCGATTTACAACTTGCTATAAATCAAGCTTGAAAGAGATACCAAAGTAATTAATTAGTGCTGAATTAGGCAAAGGACCAACGTAAAAGCAGCCAAAGCTACTTAAATATGAACTAAAGTTCTATGAACTAAATACAGCAGTTTAACATGAAAAAGCATTTGAAAAACAACAAAAGAGAGCAAAGTCCTTTAAATTGTTCAGTATTGAGCTTTAGGATGTATGCTTCCCATCATGAGGTACATCTTCAGGGGGAAAACAAGTGAAATCAAAGACACATACTCATTGGTAGAAGGTAAAAGGAAGCCAGCCATCAGCTACAGTCTGGCTGATCTCTTGTAGACGTCCCACGGAGGTCCTCAGAGTCAGACCTGCCTCGGCAATAAGGGCTCCTTTGGATTGAAATGAAAGGAATTTCTAATCAAACCAACATGTTTTCTCTCCTCCCAGGTCCAGGTGCTGCTGTATTACCTGCAGCATCCTCCCATCTCCTTTGCCGAGCTCAAGCGCAACACGCTCTACTTTTCCACTGATGTCTAAGCTCCACCCACCTCCCTCAGGGCACCATCTGGAGAGGAGAGAGTGAGAGACTCCGTACAAACCCCGGCCCTCGTTGCTCACTCCTCCTGCCTCACCTCTCCTCCCAGCAGGCAGTGCATCTCGACTGTACAGAGCCCGCCCCCTTCTCCCCCCACGTCCCACACACACACACACACACACACACACACACACACACACACACACACACACACACACACACACACACACACACACACCTCTCCTGTCTGCCCCCCCCAACTCAGTCAACTCCCGACCCGCCCAATCCTGAAAAGAGATGTAGCCCAGCTTGAGGGAGATGGGGAAGGAGATTTGCCGGTCGTCTCCTTGTCACACGTCACGTCCCGTTTGTAATGTGAGGAGAGCCGCCGGGCGCCCCCCCAACGCTAAGACGACTAGGAATACTTGGACCGGGTGGGGTAAAGTAAAGGGCGAGGGGCCGCGGTCCCCAGCGGCGGCCCAGGATCAAACCTGTGTGCACGTGTCGAACCCAGAAACCATTCGACTCTTTATTCCCGATCAGAAGCATTCCAGAATAAATGGCATTTACATGTTTAATAGTTCTGTTCAACAGCTGTTCTGTTTCCTTTTTCTGTCGTTCTGACTTTGTGCATGTGGTGGAGGCCGGGCGCGTGTGGTTCTACAGGAGGGACCATGAGAACGTGTGAGGTTTATCGGTGGCTGGGAAGCCATCCTGCTCAACGGCTGGCAATGCGCCTCTGTACTGACAAACGAGGGAACCGGCCTCCCCAGTCATTCTCAGCCAAATTTGCCCTATTTATTTGAAATATATATGATATTTGTGCCTGTACAGTTCCGTGCAACTAGAAAAATGCTCTAAGCAGTCTGTTTTTTGAAGTTTATTCAGTTAGTGATGTTATTTTTAGGCAGGATTTTTTTCTCATTTACCATGAGGAGAAAAAAAAGCATAAATAGGAAGTCTACCAGTTAATGTTGCACACTTTGTAGAGGAGAAAGAGCACTCTGTGACAAGACGTTTGTTAATAGTGGAACATTTATAAAAGATAATTCTCATTGTTCCATTGCAAGCCTGTTCCAAGTGTTTTACTGCACCGTCCATAGACTCGATTTGTGTAGTTGCCCTCATTGCATGTTCAGCTTGTCAAACAGGCCAGGTAACACAAAGCCAGGGCCAGAAGGATTTGGACCTGACACCATTCCTCTACATTTTGCCTCCTTACGCAACCCGAAAGGATTTAAACGGAAGAGGCCCAATTCTTCTGTCCCTGACTGTTGGTCAGGCTCTCGCCACGACTGGCCCAGCTTTCTGCTATCGAGCCTACGACATATCTTAAAATACTGTAAGCACCGCTAGATGAGTTTTATTTGATATTTTTAATATAATATATTAAAAAGGAATAAAAAATGTTGTATTTTACCTCTACGGAGAAGACATTTCAATATACTGTAATATTAAGACTCGATGTGAACTTTTTTCCCTTTTTCTTTTTTTTTTTAGTAAAATAAAAGTTACCAAAACACTCACTTTGTGTCTGTCTGTTTCTATATTACCGTGGAAACAATAAGGTTTATTTGTCAGTCTACTACCGGGTTGTGCAGAACAATTTAGATTGTCGTCACAATTTGATACATGAGAAAGAAAATGTAAAAAACCAAAAAACAACACTACAGTTGGATGAAGGCGTCACACAGGCAGAGAAAATAATCTGATAAATGTGATTAGTGCTCATAGAGACGGCAGCCAGCCGCTTGTGGCTTTTTGTCTTTTTAATAACCTGTGATTGTCCTTTTCTCACCAACATCACTGATGAGCAACAGATGAGTGCCAACGGTGTTCTGGATGATCGATACATAATATTACACTGTAACAATTTCATATTCATGTATTGTGAGACAATGCAGCTAAAATAACTATTCACATAGCACATTTTAAAAAATTATGTCTAACATCGTTTCAACGAAACCAAAACATTGATTTATGAAATAGGTAATATTGGATATATGAAACGTGACGAACAACCCAACTCTTTAATAATTCCAAAGGCACTTATTTGCTGTTTTGTAATCTAATGGATCATTTCCACTTTTAGACAAACCCACTAATACTTCAGAATCGCGGCTTCCTTCTTTTTATGATTTTCTTGTCCACATGATCCAACTAAACCACATCATCTAAAACGGAAAGATTCAAGATTAAACTAAAAATTTAAATTTAAAATGTCAGATCTTGGTGTGTTGCACCTCCTGCTGGTCGATTTAACACGTTGTCAAAATGTGTTAAACTCGATCACATCAAAAAATATGTGCTATGATGACATATTTAGGCCAGACATGTGGCCTCTGGAGCCGACCTGTAAGCAACCATCAGAAATCACGGCTGCTGTGAGAAGACTCACTCGAACAAAAAAAAACAACATATATATATATATATATTATATATATTCTTCTGGTGTAAAGTCTCTGACGTGCGTCAGGATAAGCCATGGAAACGACACAACTGAGGAAGAAACAGGTCAGCAGAGTCCTCACTTTGAATTTGAACCCGGAAACCAGTTGACCTCTCGCGAGGCCCGACGGAGGAAGCAAGACTTTTATTATACTGGAAATTCAATTTAGTTAAACAGTGAAACAAAATGCGTCTCTTGACAAGCAGTGGAATACCAAAGGACCCAAAAATGTCCCCCGATAGGCCGCTGATAGACGAGAAACCCCTGCTGAAGGACGGCCACCACCCAGTGACACAATAGCCGTGCTGGTTAGATAGCCTTCACATTTATTTTATTACAAATCATTGTGTTTTTTAGTAAAAAGGTCAATGTTTTTTCTGACTATTGCAAAAAGACACAAAAGAAAACTTTCGCTCGATGATTATGCTGAATAAGGTGAATATTTGATGGACAGAATGTTCTAAAATGTGTTATTTAGTGTAGTTGTTTTTAGTAATATAAATATTTAAATTCTATAGAATTAGAAGTCAAACTTGCAGGTGCTGTTTTCCCCTCAGGTTGTATAATCTACATCATTGAGTCTCCTGCTGAATCGGTGTCATATTAAGTAAGTCTGGTCAACTTTTTACGACGTTCATCAGCTAGTGGAAATATCTGCCACTATGTCTGCGCACAAAGGTTTGATTTACACCTAATTATTTATTAGAATTGTCTTTTTAGCCAGAGTTCTGTAGACATGGTTGTCTCTGGTCGGTTTATGGGAGCACAAAATGTTTCTGACAGTACAGCACTTCATTTGGGTTGTTTTTCTTTAATTCTTCCCATAAAAATGGAAAATTTGTCTGAAACCCATAAAAAGAATGTGACCCTCGCAGGATGTGGTCACATTAGCGTTCAGTGCCTTTGACCTAAAACCAGTTTTATGACGGTATTAATGTTAAAGCATCGGTTAGGATATTGTTCATGCCAGAAGGGGGCGGCAGCGGACCGTTCAGCTTTTCTTCTTTAGACTAAATGCCACACTGAAGCCCATATAAGCTTTACAAAATGTTCATTCTGTTATTAAATTAACACTTTAAATATGTCCATTTAATCCCTTCGCACATGTAGCCAATATGACTCACTCCTTGTTGTTTCCAGTTATTTCACATCTGAACGTCTTGAGAAAAAATACAAATGATTCATATGATTTGATTTTTGACGCAGTTCAATTGATCTGAAATGCTCCTGATGTGACACATTCACCGGCACCTCAGACAACAGTATGTTGGTTTATCCTAAAGCCATCTAACAACACAAGCCTACTGGCACTATACTATTGACTTTATTATTTTCTTTGTAATAATAATAATTGGATTGTCATGGACACTTGTGTGTATACTTAAAAAAGAAAAGTTCTGAAAAATTCAAAAAAAAACAACAACATTTTTAATTAAAATGATTTGATGTGGATTAGTCCGGTAGCCACATCATACAAATGTCCTACAGTAACAACAGTGATAAGAACATTTTATGCCTTCAACATAGAAGCAGAGATCCACTCTGGTCATGTCTGGAAAGTCTCGTCAGGAAGCTGCTCTGCTTTTCTCAAACTGTGATGAAAGAACCGAGTCTCTTTCCCCACCACTGTACACAAACCCGTCGCTCCCACCCAAAACATCAGCTCTGCTTTTTCCCCGCAATCCTCCACGTGCAGGTAAACAATCCCATTGGTCACACGGCTTGTCCACGCGCGCATCCCACAGAGTCCCGATAAGAGTCGTTCTTTCGTGGTTCACCGTAAATAATATTCAATGGCGGCGGAGAACGCAGCAAAGCCTCCACATCCGAGCACCCCGGCTTTCAGGCCGGCTGCAAGAACAGAAAGAACAACGCAAGTGAGGACCAAAGGAAACTCTCGTTTAAAACATCACAGCCAAAACAGACGCGGTTACGTACCGCGGAATCCGATGGCCCCCCCCGTGACACAGCCGCTGTACACGCCGTTCTTCCAGTCGGACTTCCCCCGGTGCTGTAGAAGAGAAGAAAAAAAAAAGGTTAACAATAAGAATGATCAGTTAGCATAGATCCAACAACCTTTCCTCTGTCACAGGTGTGCGGCAGATGGAGCTTTGAAGAGGAGGCACAACGCAACGACCCCCAGGTCCTCAAAGCACCTCAGACCCTCGACATGGGATGTCGAAATACACCACATGCAACAGCTAACGGATAAGCGCCATCAGAGACCGTTTAAAACCTGGCTGCTACATCACCACTGTGCAACATAGAAGCCAGTACGACACTGCTCTCAAGTCACTGGACACAAATAAATAAATACATTAAATTGACTAATTTCCCGAATATTTGGAGCACAAATCGGCTACTTGGTCTTCTGGATGCTTTGTTAGCAAAATCACAAAATTAAAAAAAAAAAATAAATACATTTCCACCTAGTTTGAAATCCACCTTCTGATTAACGTGTTCAATTTAGCGATCTTGTAGAGCATCTTAGACATAATTCAACATGATTGAATTCGTGACCTACTGATTCTATGATGCACTCTGTGCAGGAGAACATGGCGCCCACGATGGCAAAGTTCTTGGCGTACGACATCCCCCTCTGGCCCATGTCTTTGAGGACTTCTCGCGCTGACGGGGTTTTCAGGGGGTCTTTGGGGTCGAAGCCAACATTGGTATCGATGCCTGCAGTGAAAACACCAAATGCTCCTCCGAGGACAAACCCTGTGGAGAACAAAAAACACCTGAGAAATCACAACACTGTTCACAGGCCGAGGGGAATACAAGATACTACTCTCCTGTGATGCGAAAGATATGTTAAGGTTATTGACCAGGTATGTGTAATGTACAGCATACGTTGTGGTGCCACTATTAATATTATTTAAAGAGAATATTGTTTTCTGTCAATCGGTTAATCATTTGAGCACATCAGAGAAACCACATACTAATGTCCCAAAGTGTCCCCGTCATATCCACTTCCACATACGCATTAGAGCTCGGAGCTCCTGCAGCAGATGGTTGACCTGAAGCTGGACGGGAAGAGACGCACGGGTACCGATCGGCTGTGACGTCAGCCACCGCTTACCTCCCACGCAGGCCAGAACCGACTTGAAGGCGCAGCTCTCCATTCCCCTCTCGATCATCTTCTGCTCGTCGCTTTTAAAGGGCACCGGCAGTCCGCCCATAACGCCAGGACTCAGCTCCTTCACGGCCCTCTTGTCCCCGACGAGGTGCTCCAGGATTGCGCTGTACTGGATCGTGGGGTTGTCCGTGCTCGAATCCGCCGAAGCTGGACCGCGTAAGTCGGAGGCAGCAGCGTTTGCAGCACCCGTGGAGGCAGCCATGTTTCTCAATGACAGACGTCGGTGTAGGTAAATTGAGTCAAAGACAAGTGACTACAGATTCGACACGTCGGCAAATCGTGCTGATGTCGGAAAATGGAAATATTATAAACACGATTTAAGACGTTGTATTTCTAAATTTTTAGCAGAACTACTAACTTGGATTATTATTGAATTGTTCATATATAAGCAAAACAAAACTACTTTGCATTATGTACTGTACTCGTGTCAGCACATTCTACCCAAGACTTCAGGAGCCCTGCAGCGGATTGTACCTTTTTATGGAGTTTTTTTTCTTGAAACCTTATGGTCATTATTGAGTTTGTGTTGTGATGTTGACTATCACCGTCTAACTGTTTTAATACATCCTATCTCTTCAATAAATCATATTTGGTCAGCTTGAATGTGTATATTTTTTTCTTTGACAGTGTCAGTCAGTTGAATGAGTTATTCAATTGAAATATTACATTTCCCAGAAATACAAAAAAAATACTACATTACCCAGAAATCTCCCCGCTCACTGCACCAAACTCGCTGCGCGCGCTCCACCTACTGGCTCCAGCCCGCGCTGCTGGTGACGCTTAAAGGACTCGCGTGCGCGAGGCGGGCATCCTGATCAAACGACGGCGGCGCGACACCGACCAGGTGAGCGTGAGCTGGGACTCGTTTCCTTTCCACCACCGGTGTCATTTGCTCTTCTTGTCATCAAAATGTCTGAGTTTAAAATGTGTGAACTTGTTACCGCGGCGCAGCTGTCAGAGAGATACGCGCGGTGTCCCCTCGTGTCCTACTGTCTCTGTTTCCTCTCCTTTACCGACGGAGGCGGACATGTCTCTCCCGATGCGACAACGGCTGTCATTTGATAGCAGGAGGACAGGTGGTTTCCCCGCTAATTGGACTTGTCCCAGCATTTCTGTGATCTCTGTCCAATAAACGGGAGGACTGCGGCGCACGAGGCGCGATGACGCGGCGGCGCTCCAGATACTCGTCCCCGGTTCTTCTGTTTACTTGTTAACGTCGTCGGGGGTGAAGTCGTGAGTTCAACAGGAGCCGTCGCTCGGTAACGTTCCTCCACATCTTTTCTTTAACATCTCGTTGATGACCTCAATTCTTCTTCCTCTTAGTGTGATGCGCTGGTCATGTTCTCGTCAGGTAGTGGCGTGTTTTATTTGCTGTCCGACGTGGATGTTGTTTTATCCATCGAACATACTCGTGACGATACACGGACCATCCTTTACGAAATGAAGAAACTATAATGTGAATTATTTTGCTATACTTTCTTTAAATTGTACTGGAAGAGTAATAAGTCATGGTGTCAGGAGGAGAGAGGAGCTGTGGCTTTTATTTATAGTTTTGTTTTTTTGCCTAAAGTAATTCAAATTGAAATACATTGACGCTATAACATATTGGATTAGATTATCCATGTGTAGTCCCCTCAGGTTGCTAAAACTGCAAACCTCTCCCTGAAATGATTGAAGACCTAAACTCTATCCCCTGAACCCAAGCGGTTTCAACTATGCAAACATTTACTTTCATTTAATTACATTTAATTTGAATGACAGGATATGAACGGTAGCAACAAGGCACCGTTTACCACCTCTTTAACAGCGTTGTCATACTGTGCTTCTTTAAATAACCGTGGGTGGCAAATGTATTTATGTAGGGTTTTATGTACATTTAAAATTTGCTGCTCCTGGCAAGTTTCCCTCAGAACCGCTTGTGCGCTGCAAGCTGTTTTTTTCCACATGATCATGCAGCCATTTGTTCCTCATTAGATCAGTGCCATGTGAAGCAGTCAAACAAGGCCTTGTTGTGTTAAGTGCACTGGTTTTTGAAAGGTTGTTTTTCATATCTTCATTAGGTCCTTTAATTTCTTAATTCTAGCAAACTATCCTGGCGAGGCTCCTGTAGATCTACTCTTGCCACGTAACATTGTACCTGTAACACAAAGCCTTTCAGAAAACTCAGATCCCCGTCCAAATGACTGATGCTTGACCTTTTTATTTTGGTCATGGCTTTGCTGTGATACAAAATTGGACATCTCAATAATGACAAGGTCGCCTCGCAATTAAACGCGCATGTGTTCTTTGGGGGAAACCAAATGGGCAACAAATGACAGCTTTCACTTTCTGTTCCTTTTGATTATACCAGTAGAAAGGAGATCTCAAACACAAGCGGCCGATGATGTGAATATTGTCGGTTGGTAATTATACCCTTTGTTTTTCTCATGGTTAACCATCCAAGAAGGGGAAACCGTTGAAGTCTGTCTGGGTTGTGCTCAGGATAGGCGGTGCTGGACACAAAAAGCCCCAAAGGAGGCTAATGTTGATGTAATGATGGCCGAGTAAAGTGATGGAACAACCACTGATATGCCCTGATGGATGTCATGTGAAGGGGCTCCTGTCTCTTCTGTGTCTGCGGTAAGCGGGAAATTACATGAACACATCTGTCAACAATTAATGAAATTCATCAATTTAATATGATGTCTCTCTGATTGATTTCATGATGTTCTGTTTGCCATTAATGTAGGTATAGGAGATGTTAGATGGATATTGCCGTGTTCTTGTAGAGCCTGAAACACTGAATCTCCCTCCATTTTTTTTTTTGTGTCTGCTCTCCTCCGCTGCTCAGCGTATTCCCCAGGCAGTTCCTGTCATTGGTTTGCTATTTATAGCCATGGGTTATGTGGGGAGCACCCATGTCTGCGTCGGTAGGTGCTGTGGCTTGTTTTGTTACACAGAAAATGACACCCGGTGATCTCGTGGTGCGCGTGGAGATCACCGGGTATCATTGGTGCTCGATGACTCACTAAAGGAAATTCACGTTCACCGACATGCTGTGACGGACACATGAAAGGAGTAACGGTGAAGGTTGATAAACCCAGTTATTGTGACCTTGTCCAGCGGTGGGGAGAAAAATGGGGGAAAAGTGCTGCAGTGATGTAGTTACTCTGTAAGTCAGAGGCTCAGATGTTGAATCCACGTAGAGATGATGAGAAGAAGATGATTGCACCATTATAACGAGCTGCAGGCGCACTATCACTGTGTAACACATCGATCCGGGTTCACACTAAAGAAGGTAGAAAAAGCACACTTCATAGACAATGTCTTTGTGGCAATTCTAAATGCTGTCAAGAGATGCAATCACTGTCCAACTATATGGTTATACTACTTTATCGAGTCAAAAAAGTGCTGATCAAGCTTTTAAGGTGAAATGAAGACTTCACTCCCCACATTGATGAGGACCAGGGAGGATGCTGAGCTGAACCGATTTGAATCTGAGAGGACGTCAATCAATCGGTGGCTGTGTAGTGTTTCTCTGAATCAATGTGGGGCGACAGTTCTGTGTTTTCAATTTTAGTTAGAGGGGACATCTAAGTCATACGCACACGTCCGACATATTCTTCAGGGCACATTCACAATTGCTGAAATATTTTGTTAGTGAGAATTCCTGTTGAGTAAAGCAGTCCGTTAGTTTGAGGCTGAGCCGCCCTCAACCAACGAAGCCCCGTGTTAACCGTCAAACAATTTGCCAACATATCATTTTGTTGAGTTCCTCCACAAATAATCCCACAAAAGCATTGGAATAAGTTTTTGTGTGGACCAAAGATGTGTTCATATGTTTCTTGGACTGAAGTTATTGTAGTTAATGTAAAAAGAGCCCAACATTTGTACGAAGCGGCAAAGTTTGCGGTATCGAAAACAAACCCCTGAGAGAGCAGAGCAGCTTTGGATGCACACGCTTCTGTTTCATAAAGGGATCAACCTAGCAACCATTTCCCCGGCACATATTATAAAGTCAGTATTATAAAGACACCACAGTAGCAGTAAATGGGTTGTGTTGAGGTCAGGTTGCTGGAGAACCCGGCTTTGTCCCTGCGTAGCCCCCCTACTTAACCTTTTCCAGCGGGGAACGTCGACGCTCCTGTTCGTAACAGGATTCGCCTTCCCCCTCTTCAGCGCGAGGATCTCTGGAAAATACTTACACGGTGAAAAGCAACATTTTCTCTCTTCCACAGAGAGACACACATTGAGGGGAAATGACTCTAATCAAAGAAGCAAGCCCTGTACTCTGTGCTGAGGAGGTCTGCGTACAGTTGGAGTGGCACGTCCTTCACTGCTGCGCAGGAGGCTCTAATTGAGGAGATAAGAGGAGATGGACCGATTGGCGCAGGAATGAGCACCGATCTGGCCTTTAATCCGTTAGTTGAATCAGTACGCCGTCAGCAAGTTACCGATATGCTGCGTGATATTTGAACTACGTGCCGTTTGCTCGGCAAAGACACAGATGGCAGCAATGTTGTAATGGGGGTTGATGCATCGGTTAGTCGTGAAAGTAGATTTTGTCTAAAGCATCGTCTTCCTCTGGCTCTGTCTTCTAGTTCAAGAGCGTCCAGGAAGCCGGCCGTATACTTGACAAGCACAGCAGTCCAACTCGGTGGCCTCGAGGAACGCTAGAGTTTCTGTAAATGGCCACGGAGTAAAGCAGTAAAGCTTTTTGAATTCTCCGGCCTCCAGAGTGGATAAGACTAATGATTTGGTTTATTAAATGAGTTATGTCATCCAGCTCAACAGGATACGCAAGTTCACCAGCGTGACGTTTACACGCGCCAGTTGGGAGTGTCTGCGTCTTTGATGCGTCGTCTCTGGTACTGGAAATAGTTCTGACCCATTGTTGTCTCTCGCACGGGTTACATGGAACACGCCCACAGCATTGTGTACATCGAGCTCTCAGGCCACACGTTTGTGTTCGGCCGCAGGGCCAAAAGACAGAGCAGGGATTGATCCTTTCAGTAGCTCTACTAACTGGCACTATTACTCTGATTATTCTGTTTCTATGGGATCGGCCCACACGCTGTACATGCAGCCGGCCGAGCGGAAAGAAGCTGACATTCTGCCGTGTGGCTCTGACTAACTGTGTATTAGTCAAGAACTTTGACACTATCTGAGCAGGAAGTCGAGCCCTCGAGGGAGCGCTGCTCTGAGGAAGATAAAAACCCGAAGATGAAGTAGATGAACTATGCAAGATAACAGTATTTATATCAAACCCTATTCTTCATGTCAAGGGCATCCATGCACACTCGGTAGTCGTTTATAATGGGTACACTTATTATACTCATTTCTTATTATGGAACATTTTGATATTGTTATGGAATTTTTTCAGAAAGCAGAACAACCACAAGTGAAATAGTATTGAGGACAAACAATTTAAATTTGAGTTCAGGATGTGAAGAAAAATTGCATCGCCCAACTCGCACGAATTAAAGTACCAGAGTTGAAGTGTGAACTAACAGGATGTCATAGTCAGCACTTATTTTTTTGAGTTTTGAAAGCCCTGCTCTATAGGCCCAAAAGCCAAGCAAACAAGAACCTATTGATTTAAATCCAGATCGCTTTCTTCTCAAGCACTGCTTTCATCTCATCTCTTCTTGAGCTAAACGATGCCGACTTAAGCAGCAGCTTCCCTCTGCATTTCAAATTCAAACGCTGACGTGTAGTTTTTCTGTGTTTTGGATGAGGTTCTTATATTACTCTTTCTAGCAATAATTCACATCAAAGTCTCCACATGGAAAGGCAGTTGGCACACACAGCCTCACACACAACGCACACACACACATGCAGTCCTCTTGTTTTAGGTTCAGGGCTTCAGAGTGCAATTTGAACTTTTTTTAAAGTGTTCTATTTGTACAGCTTTAGGAATTCTGGTGTTTTTGATTCTGCTCATATTCAACTCTTAGAAATTGCCACTGCAGACAATGTCACGCATTGGGGAAGGATGTTTGCGTGCTGGTTTCATATCCCTTCAGTGAAAAGGGGAAACCCAGGGGGAGAGCAGAGACCGCCTCACAGTGGGAAATACAGACTCGACCCGCACTCACTTCCTGTTTCACTTTAGCTCACATGCTGGCTCTGCACAGTTTCCTCCAACCCACAGGTGCTGTACAGATGCGTCTGGGCTACTACGTGGTCGGGCTCTAATTAATAAATGATGGCATAAACTTAGTTTATGACTATTTGAATGTTACGTGTTTATGACTATTTGAATGTTACGTGTTATCAG